AGGGGAGAGAGAGAGAGAGACAGAGAGAGAGAGAGAGAGAGAGAGAGAGAGAGAGAGAGAGAGAGAGACAACGAGAGAGAGAGAGAGAGAGACAACAGCCAGCGAGAGGCAGCTGGCTTAGGGCAGGAGTTAAGCCTTAATGACCAGGAAATGGGAAGCCCAGTGGAGATCTGATGTTTGACAGCATCACATGGAGAACTTGGTTTTTGACTCAGTCTGGTAAGAGAATTCTGAGAACACAGCAGAATTCCACTCTGAGTAAGTTTCCTTCTTGAACACATCCCCAAAGCCAAGCGTCTGATGAGTGCATAAGAACAAGGGCCCCGCAAGGCCCAGCAAGAGAGACTCCCGGGAGTCTCCCACAGACCTGCTTCCTGGCTAAGGTCAGCGGTCCAGACGTGCAGCTCTCGAAGACGACAAGCAGGAGACTTAATCGCCCGAGGTCATGTCCACACCTTCTGGGAAGGTCGGTGTGGCCTGGCTAGTGGCCACAGCTGACACTAATAGTTTAAGCTTCTTATATTTTAGGCTAATAGCGATGTCCCACTTTGGCGAAGGTGACACGGACCTTTGCTGGGGCCCCTGTGTGCCAAACGAACTGGAGAAGATGGAGAGAACTCAAACAATGTCAACACCTAAAGCCGTTTATTTGAATATCTTTAAACTTTTTACATATGATACATTCCAAATTTTACAATTGTCCACAGATATTAAAATTATAGCCAATTTATTAAACATATGATTTTCCCTGATATGGAAAGCATGTTATATAAACATTTCTACAACAAAAACATGCAGAACAAATAAAAAGGAAGATGTGTCGGTAGGAGAGGGCTCTGCCACAGTGTGAGGGCTGCAGTTCCCTGGGAAGTCACTGCCCAGATCCTGGAGTGAGACTCAGGGCCACCCTCTGCTAGTCCCAGGCTCCTGTGGAGTCAGGCGGAAGCACGACCAGTGGGGACCAGTGGGGACGGTTACAGCCTGCTTAGAAGAAGCAAGCTGTGCTCATGATTTTTTTTTCCTATTGGGTTGGTACACAGGCCCTCCCTCATGCTAGGCAAGTGCTCTGCACAAGGCTCAAGCCTAGAGATGTTCCCAGAACTCACATTTAAGCCTGGCGAATGGAACATGAAGAGCCAACAGAAGCTGAATTTAAAATCTAAAGAAACGGCCTGTGTCAAAGGTCAAAAGAAGCATCAGTTACGTCCCATTCAGACTACTTCAAGGGAAGGCTAGAGAGAGGGGGAGCACGGAGAGACTAGTTTGGGCTTCCCGTTGCAAACTCTCTCAGTTCCTGAGCCTGTGCCACGCTGAAGAGCTAACTGAAGTTCATCCTTTGAAGGCGCAGCAGCTCCTCACATGATCCTGGAGACTGTGCTATCTCATTTCTTTGAGCCTCTGGTCTGGATTTCTGACCCTCCTGAGATGCTGAGGCA